AGAGAGAGAGAGAGAGAGAGAGAGAGAGAGAGAGAGAGAGGAAGTGGAACTCCTCTCGAGGCAGGCTTGCAGCTTGTTCCACGCCCGATGAACCTTCGTCACGCTCGACAGGAGGATAAAGCACAGCATCCAGCGCGCGAAAGGGGGGAACCAATCATCCCCTCTCTAGACTTAGGCCGGGGACAGCCCCTGCAAGCGTCCACTTCTTCACCGCCCCCGCCCACAACCCCTCTTGTCTCTTAGGTATCCAGCCACGAGCTATCGTTCCGCGTCAACGTCACCGTCCCGGAGTCCGGCAACTACTCGCTCGCCGCTCGCCCCTCCTCCTCCGCGGCCGTCTTCGCTCCCGGCGCCATAATCGGCTCCGTCCCCGGTGGCGTCGACGATGACGACGGCAACGGTAACGGTAACGGTAACGGTCGTCGCCGCCGTCTAGACTTTGGCACGTCCTCCTCCTCTTCCTCGTCGTCTGATGCCGGTGTTGATAGCGACACGGTCAAGGTCGATTGGGAGGTTGACCTCACGAGGCCGGAGACACGGGTGGTGAGCCGGCCGAGCCCCGTGATGACCACGGGGGTGGCCGCGTTCCAGTTCGCGTGCTCCCTTGCCGGGGAGGAGCCGTCGCACGGGTGCTTCTACCAGTACCAGATGATGGTCGTGAACTCGGAGACGGACTGGGACAGGCTGGAGTGGCTACCGACGGTGAGACGGAGGAAGGAGGGGGGGAGGGAAGGATAAAGGTAGAGGACGAGGGATTGGTTAAACAGATGTTTTCACGCGAAACAGATGCTCTTACGCGTGTGTACATTGGAGGACAGAAAGGAGAGCGAGAGAGGGACGGATAAGGATAGAGGACGAGGAGTAAGGAGGGCAGATGTTCTTGTGCGTTTACGTTGAAGGACGAAAGGAGAACGTTGGTGGAGGGAGGGAAGGGTAGAGAGTGACGGGGCGGTGGAGCAGATGTTGTTAGGCCTACACATGGTGGAAGAAGGGAACACAGGAGGGGCGGAACGAGCGAGACAGGGTAATAGAGGGAGAGAGAGAGAGAGAGAGAGAGAGAGAGAGAGAGAGAGAGAGAGAGAGAGAGAGAGAGAGAG